GCGTGTGCGCTACATGTCTTCAGTGATGTGTGTGTGTGTGTGTGTGTGTGTGCGGGTTTTGGGCCTGTCAGAACAACTACTTAGCAGGAAAAACTGGAATGGGACTAATCACCCGGCATTTGTGCAACCCTGCTGAGGATTCACACTGCATGCTGGAAAAAAAAAAAAGAGTAAAAGCTGATCCTTGCTCTCTTGGATCAAAATCCAAAGTAAAGTATGTAGTGCTTAAGGTAAACCCAACTTTTATTCTGTTTGTTTTTGTCTTGTTTTTTCGTTTTGCAAAAATGTCACTACAGAGGCTTTTTTTTTGTTTTTGTTTTTTTTACAGTTTGTATCTTCATGAATGCTGGTCAACCAGGAGGTTTAACAACCAGCCTGGATGTTTGTTTCCAGTGGCTTCTGCTGCCTCCATGGCTTTTGTTGTCTAACAGGAGTTGTAAAAAGACATGACCAGAGGAAGCCAACAGAGGAAGTCATGTCTAACCACCAATCTACTGCTGCTGATGCGCTGCTGTTTTTTAAAAGGGCCTTAAGTTTCCATCATGTAATTATTTATCATTAATAATCTTCACAACCTCAAGTTTTTCTGGGGATTTTTTTATGCATACACGATATATCTTTTCAGAGTATATCATTAGGATCAAATACTTGAAATACTTTTTATTTTGTATTTTCATTTCCATAGGATAACAGGAATTATTAAAAATGATTGCAAGTGAAACAGTATTAAAGTATTTCTTCTTCATTCATTTGCAAATCATGGAGGGCCTCTTGAACACTGTCTTGGGTGTATTTCAGTTAATGTATTTTTTAGTAAGGTCACATGTACTTCCTTGAAAAAACTGATGTTAAATGAAAAATATTTTTTACAATAAAAAGACCACAAAGCAATAGCAGGTGCATCACTCCTTTGTCGAAAGTGTGACTCAAACAGAGATAAGATTGAGATGGGAGTAAACAATCAACTGACAGGCAGGTAAATAGTGGAATCTGAAGATGAAACGATACAGTTTAGGGTCTGCTCAAGCTTTTACACCTCTCGGTTTTGCTACCGCCTTCAGGGAGCTTTGATTTTGTGTGTTGCTCTCTGGGTGAATATGTGCAAGTGCGTGTGTGTGTGACTGTGCACGACATAGATTAAAGAAGCAAGTGGGTAAAGGAGACAGCTCTGACATTTAGAAACATCAGCAGGCTCTGGCGCCCACCTGTTCATAGACAAAGACAGAAGAACAAACACCAGTCATTACATTTTAAACTGAGATAATCCTAAGATGCTTTACAGTATGGGGCTGACGTACTTGCTGGACTTAACTAAATTATTTTCAAATCGCAGATTACATTTTGTACGCTTGAACCATGCTGTATCTAAGAAACCATTAATTTCTCTGACATGTACCCATTTATACAGTAATTAAGCTGATTTTAAGAAAAAATATATATTATAAATATTTGGAAGAAAATGCAATGCTTCTAGATGCATAGATATCATAAACTATATAAATAAACAACTTACTCTATTATTTCATTTTACATCTTCACTGTAATTTTAATATTTATACTTCTTTTAGGTTTCTTTCTGTTCATATTTTTTGGCCACAAATCACTTTTCTGTAGGTAACCACCACAATATGCTCTATATTTTTATTTAGTAACACTGATTTGACAATTCAATTTAATTTGGTCATGAATTAAAGACACAATCAGCATACTTGTAAACACTAATATATTTAACTTTAAAGAAGAATAACTTTGCCATTAAAAACAAAGAAATGTGTTAAGTTTCATGGGGTACTGTTAGTTTTGTCATTACTTATTGATATAATCTTTAAGCTAGATACTTTAAGCACTTTTAGAAAAGTTAGAGCTGTTTTCCTTCACACCTGTCTATGCAGGGAAGATAATGTCTGCAGTTTGTTGTACTCTGTGTGTGTTTAGGCACTGTACATACAGCAAGTTTAATTTAGATTTATCATTTACTGTGGATTCCAAATAGCTGCAGGTTAAAGCTGCTGCTATTTGTCATACAAAAGAACAAAACACAATTAAACCAGATTAAACCAAAAAGATAATGGTCCGCTCTATGAGCACTGCTCATTTAAAAAGGTTTTGCTTTATGGTTAAATGAGGGGTTTAAATCATGGCTTTACTTCAAATTGTCAGGCTATAGGCTACAGGTTTTGATGCTTTGTGAAATAAATTTGTAAAGCACAGGAAAACAAGCAACATCAATGATGAGCGACTAACGAAATAACATTCAGGTGTTGCTATCTAACCAAAAGAACATTTGTAGGCAAATCTCGGGCTGTTTTGGGTTCAACAGATTTTAAACCAGTTAGGTAACATAAAATATTACCTTTATCAAAAAAAAAAAAATCATCTGTATCATTGAAAACTGTTGATGTAAGGAGTGTAAATCAACCTTTTCCATTTGAAGTAGTACTTATGATTAAACTGAGCTGTATAACATCAATAATTAGAGCCTCTTTATCTATCTATCTATCTATCTATCTATCTATCTATCTATCTATCTATCTATCTATCTATCTATCTATCTATCTATCTATCTATCTATCTATCTATCTATCTATCTATCTATCTATCTAGATCTCAGGTTCTTTCTATCATATAAATTGTATTTTTCTGTTTTATTGTCAGCAACAGTCATCCAGTTTGTAAAAAATAGTTCATGTAATACATTAAGCTGAGATCTTAGTTTCCCAAGTGTATTTGATGTATAAAACATCAACTATTAGATAATATAACATAAAAAAGAACTGTTCATTGATGGTAGTTAGAAGACTTTCAAATTCAACTCAATGTAGATTGCCTGATCTTGGAATTTAAAATTATGCCCAAACATAAAAAAATACTTTCAGAATCCTAAACGCTGGTGGAAATAATTTTTTTTTTTTAAACTTGTTTCCAATATGCATAAAAACATGGACTTCAAATGAATGTTATGAGCTTTAGAATGAAACAAAAATGACTTACATCTTGTTTTAAAACTCACAGTGCAAGTAAAGCAGTAAAACCATTTATTTATATGAGAGAAATCATGTCTTAAAATGTACACTGTCATTTTCACAGCTGTGTGTCTTCATATGGTCAATGTTGTAGAATAAAAATAAAGACAATGATATTAACAAAAAAAAAAAGAACAGAGAAAATACAGGTATGAACAACTTCCTTCACCACTTTCAGTGTTAAAGAGGCATCAGAGAAATCTCAGTGCATCTTTCTTGATAAATAAACTACATAAAAAATACAAGGCCTATTTAAATTCCTGAGAGCCGTTACACTAAGAGTCTTTATTAATATCAAAACTCATCATTCGGCACAAGTTCCTGAATAATTTCAATATTCAGTGCCAAGATCAGTTTTGTACACCCAGAGCCACTCCTTGTACAATTTTGTAAACATTTGCAAAACTTCAAAACCATACGTTCACAAAACTATTTGTATCAACATTTCGGCAGAAAAATAGAACATTTACCACGCTTGTTTTTAAACTTGGAAGAAAAAAAAAACACACACACAACATGTAACATTAGAATTGATCTGAATTTTCAAGTAAAGTCCCCAGTTACACAGAGGGTGAAAGAAGACTTTTTCTTTATATGGCTGCTAATATAGACAGATAGCCAGCCAGCCAGCCAGCCAACCTGTGACAGACAGAAAGACAGACAGACAGATAGAAAGACAAAAAGGAAAATGCATGCTGCAATACACTTAAAAGAATGTATTTTAAAAATAATACATATACACACAAACACACACACACACACACACACACACACATATATATATATATATATATATATATATATATATATATATATATATATATATATATATATATATATATATATATATATGTTATGATGATAGCTGCAAGGTGTAAACAATTTCCTATACCAAAACATTTGAATTATCTCCTATTTAAAGAGGCAACATATAAAAAGGAAATATGGTTGCCTTTAAGTGGATGTATAATCAAACTTAAAAAAGAGCTGTTTGAAACTAATAATGCCTTATAACTTATAGAGGTTATTACATAAAAAAAAAACAATTATAAGACATCAGAATAAACCTAAACAGAAGTTTTGTATTCATTAAGCTGCTAAAGAATGTTTAATTAAATAAGCTGCATTGTTTTCTGTTACGCCTACATCAAAGGATATTTTCTTGACAGATATATAAGTGCATGACCACAGGCTACTGTTCCTAGCACAATGCTGGGAACAATGACAGGACCAGATTTTCACATCCAAATATGATTTCCCTCAATTGAGTACAGTAACATGTTGTAGTTTGCCTTTACGTTCTTTTAATGCATGATACTAGAGGTTTATTAATGGTCATATGGAACATTTGGTACAGTCCTTGGAAGTGTCTTCTCGTGGAAATCATCCTATGTTCACTTACTGTATCCCCATTCTGACACTGTCCCTTTCTTGACCTATGCTGCTAAAGCTCCTAAGTGAATGAAAGGGAAAATAGCAAACACACAAGACAAGATTGAGTGAAGGAAACTAACATGCATTAGTGTGTACTTTCTTGTTTGCAAGATCAGGCTGAAGAAGAAAAGATAAAGAGCAGCCCCATTAGAGGCTGACAGGCCTCATAAAACCGCAGCTGAAAGCCAACGAGGCAACACTTGAGCTTCAGCATTAGTAAAATGTTTCTCTGTGATGGTGATAATGCTGAATGCTGAAAAATGCATGTATTACCTGGGCTATACAAAATATACATTTAACTGAGACCGAGTCATACAAAAAGACACTTGATCTCATTTAGTTAGGTACATTAAAAAACATTGCGGCTGTGTATTTAGATTAAATTTTTGTTCCCCTATGGCTTAAATCCGCATTTTACAACCAGATCGAGAGGTGGCGGCAGTATCTTCTTTACTAAAATGCTCACAAGGTATTTTCTGAAGACCTGGTCCACCCATTTGCTTCAAATCCATGCTTTAATCTTAGATCTTTTTGGAGCAAATCTAAGTTTTAAGTCAGTTAGGACTCTGTGCTGTACTCTTTATCCAAGGACTTATTTAACAACAAAATATTCAAGATTTTTTCTTTTAAATAAAGAATCATTCAATTCCTTAAAAGTTTAATCCGCAAAGCACTGTGATGAGATTATTAGGAAACCAGATTAAACACCTACATTTAAAACCAGTGACATCAAGTTTCATATTGTTACCGCAGTAAACAATATAAAAGACACAATTTACAACGTAGTAACTAAGAAAAAAATACGAGATGTGTTTACTTTAGAAGCGAAGAACAAAAGCTGCTCTTGACAAAATATAGGGAATGAAATTAGACTATCGGGCCATGCATCTAAGTCAAATCTTGAGCTTATTTTAATATTCTTGCAGTTTAAAAAAAATGATAATTGTATAAGGTTGTTGAATCTAAAGCTGCGCTAAAGGTGAAGAGATGAAAACAATGTAGCAAGAAGCAAGCAAATACAATTGTCTGTTTTATTTTGAATATTTTGGATGTTATTGAAAAAAAAAAAGCCTTGCAAGTTGTTTTACTTCATAGTCTGTTGTTCGTCTTAGTAGGTGCATCTCCAAAAATGTTTTCTTTTTTCATTTAAATTAACTGAACAAAACAGTCAATTTCATCATATTGTGTCAGGCCTAAAATATGGTAAATAAACCTTTTCAGAATAATTTTTGTTTTCATTTTTCTTAAGTCATGTTGCGGTGGGTCTAACATATAGGACAATGCCTTTGAGATAACCAGAAGAAACAGCACCTCCCACTGTCAGTATATGATTTATGAATGAGGCAACTGTATAAATAAAAAATAAAAAAAACGATTGTTAATCTATTGTTTAATTTTTTAAGGCCAAATGAATTTGTCTTCGTCCATTTTACCATAAAACTAGTGCTTCCATTTGAATGTATTATTTTGAATTTCAAAATAAAAAAAGAGAATTTAAAAAAATCAGTATAACCCAAATGAGAACTTTAAATTAAAACAATAGCCTTAGCGAAAATCTTTTGTATAACTTTGGAAGAATCATCTCCAAAAAATGTTTGATTGTAAAACTTGTAAAATTTAATCCAGAGGGAATGGTACTTTACCACTTTTCCAAGCAGTTTGAATTTCTATGAAAAATAATCGAACCATTTGTACCTTTTCATATATGCTTTTCCTTAAGCTCGTTAATATAACCAGTAATGCACCAGTGAGTTTGTTCTATTGTTCTTTTCTTTATACATTTTACTCACCCCTCATAGCATCTGACTTTGCCATTGTGATACTGGCTATTCATTGAAGGCTAACTCAACTCAAAATCTCCAAGAAAGACATTTCCATGTGACTGTAAAATGAGAAAAACTTCTTAAGCCCTCTAGCAGTCGCTCTAATGAACAACTGATTAGTAAAAAGAAGAAAAATAATTGAAAGTTTTTTTTTTCTTTCTAAGTTATATAAATAAGTAAAAATCATGTCTTTGGCCCATACCTTCATGTGATTGTTCAAAAGCTCCAATTTACAACCAGTAGCTTAAAAAGAAAGTCTTTGATTGTGCTACACTTGTCTACAGCGCCACTGAATTATGCCCTTTCACAGGAAAAGGATGGATGGCAGGTTGACGTTCATATCTTTCCTAAGCTTCCCGCTTGTATCTGATTAGTCCCATTTAATGAAAAGTGTGCTCCCCTCGAACTATATGCGAGGAAAACTCATAGCGGTCTTTGCTTCGGTGACCACAGATATTGCACTCCAGGGGATCCCTGTAACCGTGGCAGCCCATGTGGATGGTGTACATCACGTGATCCAGAAACAGCAGCCGACAGTGCTCACACTGAAAAGCTCGCAGCTCGTGGCCCTCCCGAGCAAACACTCGCACTCCTTCGTGGCCCACTGGCCGTTCTGTGGCAACTCGCGTCATACCCGCTCCCATACCTGCCCCACTACTGGGTGATGCATTTATAACTCGCTCTCCAGAGCCCACAGCTGGACTGGCTCGTAACCTGTGGCCCACAGGTGCATTGGGGTTAAGGTAGCCCTGCCTGTCCTGAGGACTGCTCCGAGCAGAGTCGGCTGACTCAACGCCACTGTTGCTTGCTGATTCCTCCTGTGATGGCTGAGGTGGCTTGTTCTGCCGACTTAATGAGCTGGTGCCGTTTGAAGTGGAATGGCTTGGAAACTCATGGGATTGATTTGGATGTGGTGGAAGTGTTTCACAGTTCCCTGGACGTTCTGGTTGCTGACCCACTGGCAGGACATGGTGGTAAAGGGGGTTGACAATAGGTACAACATCAGCCATAGATATAGATGGACCAGGATGGTGGAGCATAGGACGTATTCCATCTGTTCCCAAGTATGTCATGGCATTGTTAATAGCCTGGTCCATCATGTGGGGTGGTATCAATTCAGGATGATTTTCATACTTCAGGCGCATCTCATGATAGCTTATATCAGGATAGCTGTAGCGAATCTTTTCTCCTATAAAAATATAACAAAAAATGATTTAAAATGAAATACAACAACAAATAACTCAAACAAAAAAGACATAATTAAATATAATAATAAATAATTAAGGAAAATTGTTTCTTTAAATTACATTTGGGAAAGGCAGTGTTATGCAAAAACAAAAATCTGAGTATGGGGGTAATTTCCTTTCTTGGGCATAAAAACCTATACTGTGCTGCTATTTCAGCTGTTGTTTTTCACATTTTGCTCTACATGTTGCAGTCTAATTGGGTGGAAACCCCCATCCTTCTACTATTGCACTGTTTAACCCCTCCAGAACAGGGATGCGGTAAGCTGTTTTCACTTGATAAGAGCAATGTTATAAGTTACAGGTGTATCTAACCACAGAGTGAAAAACATTTCCTTGCCTTTGAGCCCTTTGCTTGCTCTGGCTTGCTCAATCTCTTCCTCTAATAATGTGGCAAATAAAAAAAAAAGAAGAGAGAAAAAAAACATCTCATAAATAGGGCAGAGTTGCTGTGTGTTATAAGGATATGATGCAACACCAAGAAGGAAGATGAAAATCTCTTTCAAAATAAATATTTGAAAAATAACGTGAAATGTTAAATAATTTAGGCAATTTATATTAAAATAAAAAGTAGTAAAAGAGATTTCAAAAGTTCCCGCAAAAAAAGCTACATTTGAAGTTTGACAGCAAGAACAACAAAAATCCCATTTAAGATCTAAGTGATAATTTTGTATTTCAACTATTAAATGCATTTGCTGAAGTGAAAAAAAAAATTAAAAATTACCACACAATGAAAAGGATAAACTTAAAATAATATTTTTTACAAAACACCATAAATTATTTTGGCGACATCTGGCCAATACAAAACATACTCACCCACAAATTTTTGAGGTGTAGTGCTCTTCCTCTTGCCAACATTAGTGGGCAGCCTTTCGATTACAGGCGGCCGATCAAAGCCTGGCATACTGCCATGCTCGGCCATGGCCCTCGCCTCTTTTGCAACTTCACCTGAGAAGGATAGGCGGAAGAGATTTTCACGTTAAGGCGTTAAAGAAAATGATGAATACATGCATTATTGTAGTCTCTATAAAATCACATACACTACATTGAAATTATAATTTTAAAAGGATTTTTTTTCTTAATATTGCAAGATTGTTTAAGTTCGAAAGATTTTGTTTTATAAGATTAATTTAATCAGATCTGAGGCATTGAAAGGAGCAATGGGCAATTATCAATTATTTTAGAAAGAAAGAACTAAAAACTAGTGATGGAATTCGATTGAATATGATATGGTGTCTCACTCATATCTTTGATTCTGTTCTTTCTAATGTTTAGAAGCCAGTCTAAGAAATACCTGCCTGTCGAGATATAACTCCCATCTCCACACTGATGAGAAAACTTATCGAAATATGAACGTAAATTGAACTTTTAAACATATTTTTCAATGCTTTCATATTTCTTATGCATGGGTGCCCTAAAATTGAGAGTTTTGGTAGACAGATAAATTCGAACAAATACGATTTTTTACTTGTATGGAGACATGTTTTAGTCGATGTGCTACAGTCAGTATCTGATGAATATATTCTCTGCTCAGTGGATAGGATTTTGCGATTTTGCTATCAACACCATTCTATATCATTTCTGACAAAACATTAAGATTATGTTTAAAAGTTTCCTTTTCGTTCATATTTCAATTAGTTTTCTCATCATTGTGTGAGACTTTAGGCGATTTTCTCTGCATTTATCTGTGCACCCAAACTCTTAAAGGGGTCATAGAATGCAAAACCGAGTTTACATTGTCATAAATGAATAATAACAGTTCAGTGGGTGAAATGGACAGACAGAGAAGTTCAAACCCCATCGACACCCTTTCTATGCAAATCTCACAATTCCAAACTTCCACCATGAATCCAAACGACGCCCAGAGTTGACGTAAACTTGGGGGTGGTGCCTTATTTGGTTCTGTCCTGTACTTTTGTCACCCCCCGAAATTTACATAGAGACCAGCCCACTGGTTCACTGGCCAAAGAACATGAATAGACATCACGAAGATGTAAGACACTAGTTTAGCTCTTTGGGTATGAAGTGTCGACTGCTGGGCCGCTGACTGGACCGGACCTCAGGCGGTGTCCAGCCAGTGTCCAGGGTACTGTTAATGGGTCGGTTTAGTCGCTCTGTCCCCCGCTGACTCCCCTACACCGTCCACTGGGGTTCCTGGACGGCTCAGTTCGAGTGTTGTCGTGTTTCGACTCCGTGCTGCACTTTAGTCGACCAAAATCCTGGACGATTTTGAAATTCCCCCGAACATTTTTTAGGTATGAAAAGTAGGACATGTCCAGGAAAAAGAGGACGTCTGGTCACCCTACACATATAAACAATTTCGATGTTTCAGTGAATGAGTGCTTGTTGCTATGATGCGTCTTTGCTCCACAGATTCGCTCGCTGTAAACCAACCAATCAATGCACAGCTCATCTAGATATTCTTGGGCATACCATAAAAGGAAGAAAACCTGTCGTTTCATTCTAGGGCTTTTAACCAGGCTTGCATTAGGGTACATAGAACAGCAGATATGTCATTTTCAGCCCAACCAATGTTACACACCCTATTCAGAGACCTTAAGGACCAGCAGCAAATACCCTACAGTATATAATCATTCTATGGCCCCTTTAATTTTAGGGCATCCATGCATAAGAAACATCAAAACATTAGGAATATGTTTAAAAGTTCCCTTTTCGTTCATATTTTAATCCATTTTCTCATCATCATGTTCAAAAGGGGAGGTCATTCTCAGCACACAGTTATTTCTCGGCACTGGCTGCATTTATACGTCCATGCATGTTGCTGCCACTTACTTATGACTTTGTCTACAGAGAGTAAAGTAGCTTAGGAGCAAAATGTTGGGAAACGCGTTCAGGGAATCAAAATGTTCACCTGAAAACAATCTTTTGCCAAAATTAAATTCTTTTGCTAACAGCATTATAGAGTTATGAGTTGGTCACTTCTTCACTAGACAAGTTCCTCCTGCAAGGTAGTTAAGATTCAGTTGTATAATTATCTTTTGCAAATATGTGCATAAGTAGCTACAGGTGGTGGTGGGGATGCAGCTAGAATTTAGGTAGGGAGAGGCGCCACTTGTTGAACGTGTTTGAGTCTACAGACAGTGCTTAACAGCCCCACCTAGAGGTGAAGTTTTGCTTATTGCTCCTTTAAGCCTTTATCTGCTCATACAAATTATGTCACACTAAAATATCTATTATAATGGGAAAGGGCTACAACATTAAAAGTACTGCTTTCCAATCCTCTGACTGTATAGCCTACTTGTTTATTATTCCAATCAGAAGCAGATATCGTGTTACTGTGTGAGAAAACAGTTCCTAAAACAAGGTTAGTTGGACTAATATTTTAGGAAACAAAAAAAAATGTTCACAGATACTATTACTTATAAATAAAAAGTCTGCATTGCTGCAGAGCATCTAAAATGAATAATTAGCTATGTTATAACCGCTAGATTAACAAAGGGTTCTTTCACAACAAGCAAGTCTTGGGGACCAGGTTAATTTGGATAGGAAGTGCTAAAAAAAAATCATACCTGCATTTGTTGAGATTCCCTTTCATGCTGCGCTATTGAAAATGCCTACATAAGGTCATGCAGTTGAAACAACAGCTTGGCTGCTTTCACAAGTATGAGTGGAAAGCAGGTAAAACAAGCTTTTATTATTTGCATATTTTTTTATTATTATTTTAATTATTTATTTAATTTAATCAAAGAAGGGATCAATCTCAATTTTGCCTTTCATTTATAGATATCTGATAAGAAAGTTCCTTCATGAAAATAAAAGGGATGATTCACATTTTACTGCCCTCTGCTGAGCCTTCTTGTTATTTGTTGAGAGTCTTACTCTCTTTCTGTCTGACAGCCTAAATAATTGCAGATATGTCTAGACATGTTTAAATATAGTATCCATGGGAATAATGTCATACATCTTTACTTACATCTTACTATACAAAAAAAAAGTTTATCTATTTTCAGCGTAATTATCTCTAAAGAAGATCATAGCACTTAGAGAGGTTGCATTTATTTATCAGAAAAAAACATTTATTTTTCAGTTTCAGAGTAGTTTGATACTAATCAGAGACAATCAAAAAATAAAATCTGTCAACTTTGGATCACTAGATGATTTCTTTGTGTTATGCAATCGTTTACCTGGGTAAGGGCCTGTGTTGGCACCAGGATCCAAGCTGAGGTAACTGTGGCACCGCTCTTTGTGCTCCTCCAGGGATGTTCGTTGCTTGTAACTCCGTCCACAAAAGTTGCACTTGTGTGGCTTTCCAACTAAAATAATTGGTAATCAATGGAAAAATATTGTTTCAGTTACAGCTGCATAGTGGGTAGAGTCTGGTGCTGCAGCATCAGAGCAGTACGTAATAGCAACAAAGCTTGAGACCAGTTAGTAGTACAAATCAAGCAAAAGTAAGCTTCTGAGGTCATGGAGGTTCCACTACTAGTTTGTGGATTCCACACAAGTGTTGCTAGACTGAAACAAAGGCTGTGGGCGACATCAATAGTTGCGCCATGTAGTCTCTATTTCAGAATACTTTGGTCTGTGCCACGCAAAGCAAACTCCCACTGCTGTGGCAGCATGAGTAAATAACGGAGTTGATCATGCATCCCATGATGGTAGGAAAGTAGCTCCAAGTTAAACTGCTACGGAGGTGGAGTGTGATTCATAACACTTTTGTTGTATTCAGTTCATTCAAATGGAAAGATGAAGATGTACTCTTTACATCTTTCTCAGTCAGCCCACCTTCTTTGCTTTTAAACTCGCTATTTTTAACCAAATAGGCATCAAATACTTTAGTGAAAAATGCACATCTGTTTAAATGCTCAGTAGAAAAATCTCCACACAAACCACGATAAAGCCAGTTGTTTTGTGTCCTGTATTAGGGTACTGACTCATAAAGAAAGTAAGTGAGTAAACTGGAGGCCACATAAGTCTACTACTGAGGACCAGAGACTATGATTGGCTGTACCCAACATTCACTGGTATAGTTTTTACCATTACTACTAGAAAATGATGTATGGGCGATCCAGTACTGTGAGAACAGAGAAACCAAGCACGTTTCAGTCTGAGACATTAAGGCAGTAACACACCTAAACTCGCATACACCCATGCTTACACACATATACTGTACTTGGAGGCAGATTCACTTATTGACATTGGAGCTCTATATGTTAAAAAAGAAAGGTATGCTTACTAAAATATGATCTAATGGAAGCAAAAGCCTTACGTTATTTACAGTAAATGTTTTACTGTATTTTATCCCCCCAAACCTAAAAAAACCCCCACCTTTTATATGAAACACAATTGTTACAAAATGACAAGACAATGCTATCTCTACATAACTACATGCATTTCTTCCCCTACTAAAGGTATAAAATATTTTGCAGCATTACGAAACACTGCTGAAGCTCAGTGGTTTTTTTGGATAATGAAAGAGTTTTCAAGGATTTATTTTCACCTATGCAAATGATGGAACTTTTGTTCAATGTTACTAATTTATTCTCAGAACCTTATGCAAAGGAAAATGCAGATATTACTTTTCATATATGCAGTATATGACCACCTCCGCACAACTTTGTACAAATGTTGGTATGACCTGAAACCCACATCTACCTGCTGTTCTTATTTATGTACTTTTAACTCAAACTTACTTGGCTGATTGCATTTGGCAAATAAATTGGGAACCTGCTTGCATGTAGCACCTAATAAAAAAAAGACTTCCTTCTTGGCACAGAATATTTTTGTCATTTTTTCACAATGATATTCAGACTGACTATCAGTCACTATCCAGAGTAACACAGGTCAGCCTTCAGTGTTCCTCCTTCACTGACTGTCTTTCTTTTACCTTTTTCCTTAACTGACTTCGCAGTTTTTTTCCTTTTCCCTCCCCTAGGCTCTCTCTCTCTCTCTCTCTTCCTCTCTATTTTCGCTCTCCTTTTGCGAAACTTGTTCTTGTTGGCAAGGAACCAAACCAGCAGTGTCACCTTATATATAAAAAAGAAAGGATATAAGAATAAACTTTGAAAAAAAGTAATCATACCTATTGATCTTGTGTTTTACAGACAAAGATCTCAGAGTATATCATCTGAATTTTGTGAACAATCACAAGGTAGCATATAGTAGAAGTAAAGTATATGTGGTTTTAAGATAATTTTACAAATAAAAATCTGACTTCTTAAAGGGACAATTTAGAACTTATTTGAATTTTAATTATCAAAAATCAATCATTGCATTGGATCATCTCTATTTGATTACAGTTACTGAAACAGGGGAAACATGTCAGCCAAAGTGTTTCACGTTTATGTAACGAACTAGGACGAGAGTCTGTATCGCAGTAACTTTTACTAGGTTGGAGACTATTCATAAGGCAGTCAGTTGAAGTTAGCTGGAGTGAAAATTGGACACTGCACATCCCTTTGAACAATTCAATTTCAATTACAACTTCATCATTCTTTTGAGCTATCTCTCCGATTAAGAAATAATGTATGAGAATAAACACAGGGAAAGAAAAACCTGATAGAGTGTGTATCAGCATTGAAACTGGGGTAATGGTTTAACTTCCAGCTGAACAATAACCCTAATGATTTCTATCAAACCATATCTATGAGTAAGTTTGGGGCAACAACTTGATTCAAAAATCGATTTTTAAGTGCAAAGTTGTCAATCTGTGTAGCAGCGAGCACGTCAGCAGCATTATCTGACACAATCACCGGAAAGTTAGCTCTAATTATTCAGTGATGGAGTGGTATTTAAATATACGACAATGTAGCGTTCTTGCATCAGCAAAGTTCGAAAAACGCAGGATTAGAAAGTGGTGATTGTAAAAGGCTGGGCTGCTTTTGATGCCCCAGCATTCAGTGTCGTGAATGAGTGGCTTTCACTGCATACGTTCATATTTTTGGTGAACTGAACGGACCAATTTTGAAGTGACCGATAACGTAAAGGAGAGCGACTTTAACTCTGAGAATAATGAGCAACAGACACAGCTCATGTTCGTGTTCAGTTGGTAACAACACTTTTCATTTGATAATGTCAGGTTTTATGGCACTTATTACAGCAAACAGCATGACAGACCAGCATGTCTAGTGCTAGTACTAGTCTGAGCGATACAGACTTGTCTACTGGTATTTCTGATACCAGTTTTGCAGCGCACTTGGCAGAGTTTTATGAACTGACAAAGGAAGACTCAGACAGTGCAAACTGTCCACATGGACTTAACTAACATATCCGTAAGTCAGCCACGTCCACTTCAAATTTAAAGCGACACATCAAGCAAGCATCCAAGGAAAGTATAACAAGTATTTATCCCCCAACGAACTGTAATAGTTTCAAAAGAGAGTTTAGGCCTACTGAAAGTTAAACAGCACTTTTCAGATTTTATATGTTGTACGCAATTTAAAATCCCCCCCAAAAAACAAATCTCTTAGGTAATATTTCTGAAAATTAAAGAGTTTAGAAGGTAACATTTGTGTAGGACTTTGTATGTCGAACTAAATGAAAGACGTAAAAGTAGCTACTTACTCGTACACACCCCAAAACAAATGCTGCTTCCAACTAAAAAGAGGACTTTGAATGAGAAACCCCAGTGCGGGCATCACAAGCAGAAATGACGGTATTGTCTGACCTTGATTTCAAAGGCGAAATGGAGGGGAGAGCACATCCTCTGATAGGAAAGTGGGTTACAGTTTAGAGAGACTGCTACCACTACACATGTGTTTCTCAACAGTTTCCTCCGTCTCTACGAAAGCAGCTGAGAAACAATATGTCCTTGGAACCTAACCACAAAGCACTCACAACCATGCTATAATATGCACATACAAAAATGACCTTTTTCCAAATAAAAAACAGATCTTTTACCTCCAGGTTCCCCTGAGTCATACTAATATCAGAGCAATAGTAGGGAGAAATGCAAACAAAGCTTTGAAATCAAGCATGCTTTTTATCTGAAATGCATTCGGGACAATTAGCCTGACATCTACATTGTATTGACTGCATGCATACATAGAGAGCTAAAATGTCTTTTGGGGGGAAATTTAGTATATGTTTGTCTAAATATAAAACTACTTCTTCTTTTTTTATCTTCATAACACTTCTGGCGAAACAAAAATCGTCTCTTCCCAGTAACAGACATGGTTCGGTTAAAAAAAAAGAGAAGCAGATTGGGTGAGAACAGAGCTTACCAGCATGAGTGCGGAGATGACCAGTGAGGGCATCGCGACGTCTGCAAGCATAGCTGCAGAAGGGGCATTTGAAGGGCTTTTCACCTGTGTGCAGCTTTATGTGTCGCAGCAGGTTTCCCTTCTGGGTGAAAGACACACCACACTGGTTGCACTGGAATGGCCTTTCACCTGAAAGAAAACAGTACAGAAAGTTAACCGCATACTGATTATGAATGACTGTTATAAGCAAATTAAAGCAAGAGTAAGGATAATTTCCCTGTTCTGAATAGAATTAAACACCTTACATAATGACTGAAAACTGACTTCGTCAATGTGTAACCATTGGCAACTGTTTTATTATTTCTAGATGAGAAGTTAGACATTTCACTATATCTTTTTACAAAAGACTTAACCTCCTTTAAACTTAAGTAAGAAATATACAAAGAAAAAAAATCTGTAAAACATCATTGAACTTTCAGACAATGAATCAAAAATATCAGCAAACCCTGAAAGCCTATTGAGCCCCACACGGAAATACAGTCATAGAAGATGTAGACTTTTAAGTTTCTGAGTTTCTGCACTCATTTGTAAAGCATTTTATTCAAAAATTCGCTATAGCCTTTATCTTAAAATCATGACCTTTACGTAAAAATAGCAGTAACCAGATGCTTAGAGTTGTAACAATAATGTGTAAGAGAGGAAAATGTGGAAGAAGAGTCTGGTCGGATGATACCTTAGCACAGTCTTTCCCAACATTTTTTTGACTTCTGTACCCCATTGGGCATTTTTTTCTGTACCCCTCTCAGTCAAATGTATTCGTTGTCCAAAAGTGGATCATAGAATAGCTTCATCTATTAATGTGAGCGCTTAATTTAAAAAATTTGATGTTTTCCATCTCAAATAACAAAAAAAAAAAACAAATAAATATGTTGCCTGGAAGTTAGTAAGTATTTGAAATAAAAACAAAATTAATCATATTATGAACCTGTATTCATAAAACTGGAGCTTCTCTGAGTAACTCTCTTATAAATACATTTAAACTTGATGAATTGGGAACAAAATACAGAACAAAAATTATAGTCAGACCGACTTAATTAGTTTTACTTTGTTTTCATCAAGACACCTGAGCTGCTTTGATGAGCTTCTATAGCTCAGTGTGAAAAACAGCTGATACCAGGCTTTTTTCTACTTCCAGTCTGTTCCTCTGCTTGGTCTGGATGTTTGTCACAGCTCAATATGATCTCAAACATATAAGAACAATTTACTTTTTGATCCATAAAAGCTTGTTTAATTTCTCAGTTGGGTCCTCACAAAGAAAAATATATTACAGCCCTATTTTATTTTACTACCTAAGAAATATTCTCATGGTACTCCTTGCAATGCACTCGTGGGCCACTAGGAGTATGCATACCCACGGTTGGGAAACACTGCCCTAGCAGCCCCATATTGTGGGGAATATTGTTCTTAGGAGGGGCAGAAGAGCTGTTCAGTTTGAAGATGGATGGAGCAAAATAGAGGGTAGTTTCACATGGAAACCTGGTAAATGCTACAAAATAATTGGAACTAAAATGTGGGTTTATCTTCCAGTAGGGGAATGACCTTAAACATACAACCAGAGCTATAATAGAATGGTTCGGATAAGAGCATATTCATGAATTAAAATGGCCTAGTTAAAGCCTAGATCTAAATCAAATTCGAATCCTTGGACAGACCTCATAAATGATGTTCACAAAATGAAAGATACTTGTGAAGGATTAACTAAAAAACTTGCAGCTGTAAGATTTCCAATTATTAAAAATGTTTAAAACCAACTCCAATCTATGTTAACTCTCAAAACTAGGTGACCAAGCTTAGTGTATAAGCTTACTCACAACTGTGCCATTACAGAGGGTGTTTTGAGCATAACGCTTTGAGGTAAATACCTGAATCGACTTAGACTTTTGCCCTAAAAATGTCCTGGTCACTAGGACTGAGACTCAAATCTTTTTACCAGTTTTACCTTAAGAGTGAAAGGTACATAAGCTGTATACTGTTACTGGTATTTAGATGTTTTAGAGGATTAGCACTTCCTATGCAAATAATTAAACAAAATTAAATAATGACATATTTTTATCCATCATTTATTTCCTAAGTAGCCTTTGCCTCTATTGTAATTTGTTCTTAAAGTGTAATAATGTGTAACTCAGGGTATGCTTAGGTCATTCTAAAACGTTTACTACTTAGATCAGAAGCTCAGATGCATCATGCTTAAAAATATACATCTGGTTGAGTGTCCTGTGCTTTGGATGGTCAGATTACTATGTATGCTACTGCTTCGCGTTCAGATGTAAATCTTTTGATCTGACGCCAGTTGGAAAAAGAGAAATCTGATCCAAATGTGATGACAGCCGGAGGAGTCGTGGCGTCAGTTGGAAACAGGTTGCGGAAGATTCCAAGGATATTTTTTTTCCTTGTTAATCATTTAAACACATAACTGTTGTGCTTGAAAAAAAGAAAACTCCACCCACTGTCGAGGAACAAAAAAAATAAAAGGCATCTGACTCACCGTCACATTGATTTATCCACAAAATCTCCAACCGAAACCTAAAGAGTCGTTAAAAATGACAAAGCTATACTGTACCAAACGTCCCTATATGCACTCTATGATCTTACCATTTTGTTGTCGAATTACTGGATCTGATGGTACATTTGGCCCAGACAACCCATCCTGTGCATTGTGTGGGCTGTTCGTCAATGATTCCTCCATTGCTGCTCCTTCATCTCCTGTGTGGCCCATTTCTTCAGGTGCCGAGCTGCTGTTGTCACCATTTTCCACAAGATCTTCCTCTTGCTTTATGGCCACTTCTGTAAAGATTATAATATGTGATTATTTCTACATGCTGACACTTTGATATACATGTATGCTCCAACAATATTCACAAGGATCAATAAACATATCACTGCACATATTGGCTTTGTATGGTATGATCATGAAAAATTATATTTGAATTGGATTTCCAAAAGCATTCATAATAATGTACAACAAAATGTAATGGAGTTATAACTGAATCAACTTAAGTAATATACAGAATCAGGATGGACTGACACAAAAGATAGAAAAGACTGAGACAAAAAAAAGGAAAGAAAACAGGATGGTCTGGTTTCAAGCTGTCCCTGAGGAGAAAAGGAGTGTCAGAGGCACATTGCTGGCTGCTGCTGCCTACCCATGGGAGATACAATGGATGACAAGGGCAAAAGATTGAGCAATACAACCAGTGTTTGTGCATTTGTGTATTTGAGTGTGTAGCAAAAATAGATCCAAAAGTTATAACAGCTCATAAAATTTAATTGTACGTATTTTAACAGATATTTCTTAAGAAGTTAATCAGTGTCCACCAGATAGAATTGTTACTAGTTTTACTTAAATGTTATTTTTTTTACATCTTTACTCAGAAACAGCTCCAACACAGAAAAGGATTTTTGTGAGGGAAAACTTCTACAATTCACTAATCAGAATTTATTTTGAGTTGAGGAAATTATGTGGGGCTAAAAATGAAATGACAATGTGATTTCATTACATCCTTCACAATTTAGATTTTTGAAACCATAAAAATAAGACATTTAATGGAACGTATAATTCATTTTCCTCCTGTTTATCTCTTTATTTTACTTTATTGCTGTAGTCCTATAGAGCCATACCTCTCTAGGAAATCACTGATTCTTGGGAATTTGGATAAAACAGGTTTTAATTTTGAAAATAAAAAGTTAGTTGGATTACAAAATCTGAAGTTATATTGTTATAGACCAAGGTCTTGGCTGTTCAGCAGTGTACAGGTGCAACCTCCTCATTTTGTATTTCTTTCATAAAATAGGCATTTTTCCAGTTATTACTTTGTTTTTGTCAACACCATCAGACACAATAAAAAGCTAATTATTTTTTATTTATTTGGTCTAATAAGTATTTAGAGTTTTTAAATCTTTATCTGGCATTGTTAGCACACATTTATGCTGTTAAATGTTGAATATTCATTTTTGTTAATTTTTTTAACTGTTTCACGTGTAGTCCTTTAAAATATCTAACATCAGATAACGTTTACTTTAAGCCTAAATAGAAAAAGTCATGTTTTTTTATTTAACAAACATATTTTTGTATTAAAAGAGACAATTACTTTAATGAGAGAACAGCACTGAAGAAACATATTGCAAGCATATTCATTTAAAACGAATAAAAAGCCCTCTGACGGTGGTGACTTTAGAACTGACGGTGTTGACAGTGGCCTCATTTCAACATACAATTCCAAACTGTATACAATTCAAGTCAATGGTTTCTTGTTTATTAACTTTATTTAACTATTTGGTCCAAAAAATAACAATCATGAGCACTGTGACAAATATTTTTCAAGGAATATAAGGTACAATTAAGAAATATCATTATCAGTCAGAATCATTCTCTGATGCTTTATTTTCTTGCGTGTGATTGTGTCCTGTTTGTCAGTTGTCATTCGTGCTGCATTATGGTAGAAATTTTGAACCTTCTGAGTAATTGCTTGATTATATGTAGGTTTTTTGTCAGTAGGCCTTCACACTTCTTTTGATATTCCCTGTTTCTCTTCCTTCTTTCCTTCACAGATAGCTGCTTCCTAGCCATAACTTCCTAAAATACATAAAGTCAAAGTTGAGTGTAATGACTATGAAATTGGGGGGAATTACAGTAAATGTTAGATTTGGTTAAATGTTGCCCTGCCATAGCTTACAAGGAATATTGTATACTATGTGCTATGTAGGTAGGTAGTAGGTGCACTATGTGCATCCCAAATGATGTAAACCAAATGAACATGGCATAATAGTGAATTGAGAGACAGGGAAGGCCCACCCCATCCCCTAGGGTTATACAATATGGAAGAAATCTAGGCGGAATTACATAAATAAAAATATAAAAGAAGTTAATGAAACATTACAGATCAACAATTATTTTCTAGCCTCCATTGAGAACCATTTGTAGTTTTTTGTCACCACCGTCAGACAGAAAATCTGACGGTGGTGACGTCTGACGGTGGTGACAAAATCCTACTCTTTCACATGATATGCATGAGTTGTTCACATTAGCCATCTTGTTTCCCCTCTGTTGCTAGCTACTTTAGACCTCTTCTTAAAAAGTAAACATTTATGTCATAATCTAATCTAATATTTTTTATACAAAAGAGACGGTGTTGACATGTTATGGTTGTGACATTAGCAGTGTCCAAAAATATGAACAAGTTTAAGAGAAAATAGCAAACCTACAGGAGCTTGAGTGACCTTAAGGCATCCAGTAGAGCTGAAGATTTGAAAATGGGGTCCTCAGGCATGTAGTTGACCTTTTAGTTAGCCTGATTTTATTGCTTTTTATAAATATCTGACGGTGGTGACAAATATGTGGGACACATTTTGAGCAATCACAAAATAATGGTTATTATTGTTCAAAACTCACTGTTTGTAGTTTTAAATACATATTAAAATGTACCCTTTCATTTGGTAAAGATATTATTCAATTCTATTATTACTTTTTGTTTTTTTAATCAAGTTCAAATGATTATCTCCTATCCAAGGACAACTGATTTTATAGGCAATGGGCCAGCATATAATCATTAAATTAACAATAAAATAAAAAAAACTTTAAAAGAACCTTGCATTTGTGCAAAGGACCCCCTGATTATAACCTTGATTGTTTTTATTCATGAAAATGTTATTTCTTTCCAACAGAATTAGCACTTTTCTTAGTGGGACATGTATTTGCCAAAGTTTCAAGAATCAGTGAAATCTATCCATTTAAATATTTTTAGTTTTCTCTTTTGATAAGAGTGTTTTCCAAAGACTTAAACCCAGGGGATTTTTCTCGCTGTTACATAACTTGGTGATCTGTCTCATCATACAGACTTGATTTTGTTCCCTTCTTCCAAAATTTCCGTGTTCCAGTGAAGATATGTTATCAGGTAGGCACTGCAAGTCTTTCCCTTGTTTTAAAGTGAATATAAAAGGGGCCCAACATTTGGCTAAGAAAAAACAAAAGGTGAACGCATTCTAACCGCAACTTACTGATCCTGAAGATCCTGTTTTAGGATTTTGCAGTGGAAATAATCTTAGTGTGACTCTTTGTGGCTGTTGTTTCATTGAATCCTTCCATTTTACTGTTTTCATCAAATGGCCTCTCAGGCTTTGTAAGAAAAATACACTCAAAACTTGGAGCAGACTACAGCACAAAGATCAGATTTTATTCTATAGACTTTGTTTCATTGCAAAGTAGTGATCTTCAAGCTGCAACTATACGTTTCATTTATCCCAATGGCCAAGTTGAAACTGAGGCTTGTCTTTGACAGCTGTATCCTGGCAACACAGACAAGACCTAAATGTCCTTGCTATTCAGCTCTGTGTGTCTGCTTCCGTCTCTCCATTGTAGGAGACTGAAATTTACAGACATGAGGAAAAAACACACTCTAATTTAATTAGTTCTGACTAAAGAAGCAAGAAATTTATATAATAAAAGTATATTTTCTTTTAGTTACAGTATAATGATGTTTTATGTGAGTTCCTAATGATTTATCTATGAAGAACAGCAAAGGATACCATTATTGGTGGACTAAAAGCAATAAAACATTATCAAGGCAGATGAAAGAAGACTTCTGCTATCTTTACCATCCAATCTGTCATTGACTCCAAGGCTTTAATTTTACTCTTCCATTCTCAGTGAATAGAAAGTAGAATGAATAATCATAAATGTTCTGTTTGAGCTTGCAAGTTTGGCACTGAAATTGTTTTGCTTTTGTAAACTGGTCTATTATTTAACATCATTTTAAAAAGCCTTTAAAATTCAAAACACGTTAGGACGTATAAAATAACACAAAAACAGCGCAGAAAACATGTTCCCATCTTGCATTCATGCCTCTCAAAGAAAAGGTTTCTGTTATACTTGTTAGTTGCCTCATTTTACTGTATTTCCCCTTTTCTTTATTTGCTTTTTCAGTGTAACATTGCTTGAGATTGTCAGGGTTTTCTCGTTAGTAGACTTACAGGAACAAGTTAACACTTTGGACTTAGTTCCATATTTTACACAAAGATTCAGTATGGTACACTTTTGTGCAACAGCTCTTTTCATGAAATCTATTGGCTTCATATTCAGTTTTATGTTATGAACTGTATTTGTTTGCATTATATAAATGTTTCTATTAATCATCCGTTACAATATCAGCGATAACACATTTTAGTTATGTGGAGTTTTGTTATTCGTTTTGTAATTTATTCCAACTATAAGACCATGTTCATAGTCTAAATAGTCTTTTTTCCCTTTTTATACATTGATATCTTTTATGTTTTTTTACATTTCTTATATTTTGCATTCTTTTATGGTCAAACAGGAGTAAATGCAAAATAATTTCAATTCAGTGTGTGCATAACGAAGTTATGGAATGAAAGGTTTATTTATCCGGGTACCGCAAATCACTAAGTGAATTGTGCATTATTCATTTGACAAAGGCTGATGTTTTTGAGCTCTCTTTCCTTAATGTCTTAATTTTCTATTTAAGATTGACTCATGACATTCTCTAAGAGGATTATAATTTACCATCTTTATTATATTATACCATTAGATGAAAAATGAAAAGGCGTGTTTTTAAAACCTTCTTATAGGATTTTTGTTTTTCAAAGCCCTATCAGAAGGCATTTTCAGGTTCAGTGAGACAGCATACAAATTTGTATTTTTGCATTTTTTCATCTTACAACCACAAACTTTATCGTATTTCATTTGGATTTCAGCTGATAAATCAGTACGAGGTGGTGCAAGATTGTAAAGTTAAAAGAAGAAAAATAATGCACACATTTAAAAAAAAAAAAGGGATTTAACAAAAATTTGATCTCTTTGACAAAATTTGACATCTTTAAACTCAGCTCCCTTTACATTTTAATATGTTTCCAACCTAATTACTAATGTACAAATGACTAATTTACAAATTATTTAGAGTATTTTCAGGCCCATTGACATGAAGACAAGCTCAGGCCTAAACATATAAATACTTGAGATGCACAATAATGGAAGTTTTGCTGATATCCAATATGCCAGCATTTCACAACGTAACTATCGATAACTTATACTGATATTACTCCCCTCAGCCTACTTACGGACCATATTTAGGTTTCCAGCTCCTGTCCTGAACAGTCAAATCAAATAGCAGTTTGGCTTTTGGTTTCTGAAATTTTAAAAAACATCAACATTTTCACCTTAGCATCTCTCCTGTGGCACACTAATGAATCACTTGGGTGTGGGCACAATCATCACTTGTTTGTTGCTTAGGCAGCACTTTTTATATCAGTGGGTTATATTGGTAGAATGGCGAATGTCTGAAATTTTGTTTTAAAGCTGATATTGGTAGATACGACAATATTGGGCATTCCTAAAAATACTATAAAACCCACTTATCACCACGAAGCTGGATGTTAGAGGTCCATAGGCCAACATTTTTAAAACTCTGAAATTTTATCTGAGATTCATGCGTTCCTGGTCCGCTTCTAAACAAATGCACTTGGGCCATGCTCAGAATGTCACACAAATCTCGCTGTAGTGTTGTGCGCATGCCTAGTTCCTTTACTGGGTCGTTTCCATCATTGCATCATAGCTCCACCAACAGGTCTGGCATAATTGTACTGCATTTTTACTAAGCTGGCTTTGTGCTTACAGAAAAGATTTATGAACTATGATAATTTTCTCTTTTTGAGGATGAAGCCTTGTAACACATGAAACATTTTTTAAAATTTATATTTATGCTCTATTTTATCTGGTCTAATATCACACTTTAATTACGGTATTCTAATATTGTAAATCATATCTTTAGTCTATTGCAAATCAAAACAAAACCCAACAAAAGGAAGTAAGAAAAAAAACACAAATGCAGAAGACACTATATCTGCATCGTGTAGTGGTTCTGGCAACAGGATGTGATATTATATTTATTGACTGACAGCTCACCATTTGGGGAATTAGGACCATGGTGATGTGATGGTACATGAGGTGATGACATATCCACTAACATTCTTGAGTCCTCCTTACTGGAAGAGCATTGGCTGTTACCTGGGAAACAGAGACAGCAATCTTTACTGAGCATTGAAACAAGGCAAAAAAAAAAAAAAAAAAAGACACATTAGTGCTTTCTGAGAAAAAAAAACATGCATATTGAAGTGAATATAGAGTGTACTGAATAAGGTTAGCATGAATATGGGACAAATACAAAATTAATCCTTAAAGAATGTGGAATTAAGATATTTAAATAGATTATATTTGCATCAACAGAGTAACCTGAAAATATATTTTGTGAAAACAAGGATAGGGATAAAGCACAGAAGTTAAAAGATTATATAATAAATCCATTTAGCAAACCTTTTCTGCTAAAGAGAATAGAAAACCTTTACCCTCAATAATTCCTCACGATCATTAGATCTGCATTAATTAAAGACTTAACTGACCAGTAAGAATTCATCCCTGTGTACATGAGCATCAGTTTTATGCATTAATGCAGTTCTGATGTCCATCAGATTCAGATCAGATTGCATCCTCTGTGGACAGCTTAGTGTCCACTCAGAGGAGAGCACACCGATCCCTTATCCTCTTACACCCTGGCTCCGTCGGGGTCACTTAAACAATGCAGTGGCAAGAGGTGAACATTATCTCTGACCCAGGTGTCAGATCCCAAAGGAAACCTGGTTAGCTATCATTAAAAACCCACAGACTGGTGTAAAAAAAATAGAAAATACGAAAAGAAAAAACAAAAAAACCGAAACAAAGGAAGCTGTCCACCTTTCTTCTGAAAGGATATTTTTGTGGTATTTGATCTGAAACTGGCTATTTTTGAAATTATAATTTTTACATAATAAAAGAAAAAGAATGCTTGCTAAGCTGTCACTTGTAATGACAGCCTCACAGAGTGGGGCTTACTGGGAGATGTTGTCCATGATACAATCCCTCAGTCTAAGCTCAGGTTGCACAGGTTAGAGTTGGATGAAATCTCAGGTGACCAAGCCTGGGTATCCCTTGGCTATGCTGTCCTAGAGACAGGGGTGGCCCAGATTTGTCAAGATAGATTTTCCATTAGCTTTCGGTAACAGATGCTAACAGATGCTCATAGCATTGGCTTTTCAGACTCAGCTATAAAGCTTTGAGGGTCAGAGTTTTGAATGTGAAAATAAGAATAATTCATTAAGATTTCGACCACAAATTAATGAGGAACATTTTATAAAATATGAACCCAGATCAACATAGGGTGAAGAAAAGATGCACAATAAATACATTTAGTTCATGGACAGTATGGTGAAACCTGACCCTTTCAGATTTTCTTAGTTTTTGCTTTTTGTTTTGCTTGATAAAACATAAAAAAAAATTTTTCAGGAGACACCTTAAAGCTACAGTGTGTAATTTTCAGCGACATCTAACGTCCAGACTGCAGACCGCAACAACATGAACATCTCCCCCCACCGCTTCCCCCCCCCAACAGTACGGCGAGCGTTACGGGACAAAATGTCTTCCACGACGTCCGCATCACCTACCTTCTCAAGTGATGAGGTTTGTTTACATAGATAATTTTACAGATAGTATTTCATTAGTTTGTGTGTTCAGTACCATCTCAGTTCATCTCTCTCAACTTGCCGTAGCTACTTTCGAGCGTAATGGGCGATCTCGCAATCGCTAGTTTGTTGGCTCTGCGCTGCCGTAGCGCAAAGATGTCTGCCTCCATGGCTGCGAGACCCGCTCCTATGTAATTATAAATAACGAATTCTAAGGCCACGCAAATATTAAGGTTAAGAGGCTGAGCTCGTAGATGATGATAAATAACATAGTTATGTATAATATATTACATTTCTGACTGTATATCCCTGTAATTATTACACACTGTAGCTTTAAGAATATGCTGTACAAAATTCTGTTTTCCAATTATAATCAATTTACTTAGTAAAAAGGCTATCCAAACCCAGGATATATATATATAAAAAAAAAGTATTTGCCCAGATAAACAGATAACTGGCTCTGCCCCCCTTGTAGGCAACAAATACCCCTTGTAGGCATCCAGCATTTGCTAGAAATAGCTGTGAAAAATTTATGTAATTTTTACGTCAGTGCGTAAAGCTGCTGTTTTTCAACCAAACTGGAGGGTTTTCAGTCTGTTTAAAATCACAACACAGCAAATCAAATTAAGTTTAAGTCTGGGCTTTGACTAGGCCATTCCAAAAAGTTCATATATTTTACTAATTTATAATATACTGAGCATATGCTGTACAAAACTGACCAGGTGGGGAAAGATGTGTTAAGGTCCTTAATGATCACGCCCGTTCAATGTTTACTCCTTTTATAGATAAAGTCCTTCAGTGTGGATTGCTAGTGCCTCGAGGTGATAACTTTTTAACCCTTTCCATAAAGAAAGAAATGTTGTTTCTCATTTGTTTTTTAATTAATTTATTCCTTTTTTTTTTAGATCAGGGCATGATTTATAGCTACTTTATGTTGTTAGAAAGGTGCTATATAGCAGATTTTCTTGCAGTATTCAGGTCTTGGTACCTCATGTGAAATTTAACCAAAATAAACTAGTTTAATATAATAAATTGGGCTTTTAAAGCAACTGTGCAAGCATTGAGCCAGATCAGTTTGAATTATATTAAAAGATTTCTCAGGTCAATATACGGTACTTGACATGTATCAATGCTCCATGCTGGTTGTCCTTCCAAAAAAAAACTCACCTATAAACTTAAAAGGCTTGGATATGTTGCTAAATAGGCCTTGTGACCTAAAGAGCTGATTTCTAACAGTTGGAGCTCCCCTTAAACATGAGAACTAACCCTAAAAGGTTGGTTTAGGCAACAAAAAAGATATGACACTTATCTGATCAGGGCTATTTTTCGTTTCCTGATGTAGAATTTAATCCAGAGTGGGAACAGCAGCCCTGTCTTCACAAGTAACTCCTCAACTTCAAAATATGCTGGTCCAAATTGGTCTGCTATCAGATTCCAAAACATGAAGGAAGACTGTTTCATTTTGTGATAGCGCAGTGCTACCAGTTGCTTGCAGGGGCGCTACACCTAAGTTTCACATCTACAATCCCTAGCGGCTAAAGGTTAAAAAGTGTCACTAATACTGTATTTCATAGAGTGGTAGGTCACTTTAGATTTCTTTTAATTTTATAAATGAAATAGTCATTGTAACTAGATTTTGGTGGTTATCAAAGTCTGATACTAAACCTTTAGACTTTTTTTTTATTTTTATTTTTTTTATTATTAAAACCAAAGATAGTTTTAAGGGGCAAAAACAGTTTTTACTGCACTTAAAAGACTTTCACTTCTTCACTGTTTGCTGTAGATATAAAAGGGGTTAAAAAAGGCTGAAGCTGCAAGCTTAAGGTTTTTTTGGACTGACTCGAAAACTTGCGTTGGTGTCCTATATTTGTTGAGTCAAAACCTGTATGAGCCATAAGATCAAAATAAAAGAGATAAGACTTGCTAGGGAAAAGGTTACTTGAGTAATGTACTAAATATGGATGATTTCATGTGCAAACGGAAAGGAAACTTTGTGTACATGTGAAACTTGTAGGTGTCATTTTTGCTGACTTCATTACTGCCACCGAATAGTAAGTCCAGTCATCCTTTCAACAATCTAAAAAGAGGAAAGCCACCTATTTCTTTTAAAAATTATGTGTCTTTACAATTATGTGTAGGAAGCACAACTGCAATATGGAAATAGACCTGATTAAAGCCAGGTCACGCGATACAGTATATCTACTCAGAAGGTGTGTACGGAAAATGGCTCAAAACCACTCACAGCATGTGTACATGAACTCCATCTGATTATTTTATATATTTTGGAGCAATATGGGCATCCATTTGGCTTAAAAAAAGAAATTGTTTTGCTCTTTTAGGAGTGAACTTAATCTTTGTATGAGAGTAGACCTAGAAACCTGCTACCGACCATCCAAAAATGTGACCTGTTATTAAAGAGGTCATGTTATTATTTTTGGTTATTTCCCTATCTTGCTGTCTCATGTATAGACTGTGTAGCTGTAAAAGTAAAGACATTATAAAAACTAAAGCTACACATTAAATATCCTGATCGTTTTAGCTGCCAATCCTCAAAATAATGTTTAAAAAAAACAAATGCAAGTCAAACTATAGTTTTAGTGTGAACACGTTACACTACTAATAAGTCATTTGAAAGTATACAGTGAGAACAGATAGCTAGCCCCTTCTTTATCACTTTTCAGATTTTTGACACAGATATACTTTATTATAAATATTTTTGTCATTTAGCTTAATTTAAGAGTATCTCTAACTTTGATTCCCCAACTTACCTTCCAACCCCAACTTCGAGAAGCCTAGTGTTGAAGGACCATGACTGAATAAAAAATACAATTAGAAACTCAAACGCCATTCGTCATTCACCTACAGGTCCATTTTGGTAAAAGGTATCCTTAGCCACATTTGCTACTTGTCAAAAAACGTATTATTGTTTATAAAATGCATAAACACATTTTAATTTCCCTATAGGGCGTGACTAATCTGCATTGGTAATCTGACTTACGAAAAATGTGAACAAAATCAACACGTGAGACCATGATATACTCGAGGTAAGAGAATGATTCTGCGTGTGATAAATTGTAACTGTGAGGGTGTGAAATGTGGTGCTAGAGCAGAAGTGTAAGAAAAAGGTATGAGTTTCAGGAAGAGAATAACGACTGGAACCAAGGACAAAATGATTAAGACATGAGAAAAGTAGTGCTTTGGGAGAATAGCTTGAAAGAAAAGTGTAGAATATTACAGACATCTTGAACTCTCAGCTTTTGATCACCAAGCTATTTAATTAAAGCACATCTTTTAACTTCACTAATGAAAAATTCTACAAAGGACTATACTTTTAGCCAGTACTGACTTCTGAATTCTGCCTTTAGGTCTAGTGTATTCAGGTAATTGCAGTCTTAATGATTTGTTGTTTTTGTTGTTATTTTGTTTTCTTTTCCCCCCTTCCTATTATCCTCATGTGCTTCTTCTATAATACTATACTCCATCAGAAATTGAAACCAAAAATGGTGAGTCCCATATCTAAATATTTACTGTCTGATCGTATGTCTCATACCACTACTCTGACTCACAAAGACTGTTACCATCACTTATATAAAGAGCAAATAAACATACAAATTTCCACTCTGGTGACTTTGCATGTGCTTGATTTGATTCTTAAACTCCATACATTACATGTCAAAGCATGGCAGGATACATCTACCAGAGAACTAGAAATGTTCCATGTTACTTATTATTTTCAAGGACTACATTCTTCTATAATGTACAGTACATGTGCAACTGTTTTGCAATTGGATATTTTTCCAACATTTGAATAAGAATAATAATTGAAATAAACAATGATGACGTACATATCGATAAATCGTCCTGTCAAAACGCAGTTTAAACAATTAGCCAAACTTTCTCTCTCTCCTCTCTTTGTCTCTGTCTCTCTCATCCTGGTTATGTAAGCAAACAGTATGGTGAGTCGTTCTGCCTTACAAGTTCAGAAAATCAACTATTCCCACTGTTGTAGAGACTTTAATGAAAGAATGGCTGCAGTTACCATATCATACTCAGGTAGCAAATTGGATCAGTACCAAGAAAACCCCTCAAACCAGTCTAACTTTCACTGAAATCATGGATGATGTTCCTGATCTGGATATCACAATTATTACAAGTCTTCCTATTGCTTGACCATGGTCTTGGCCACAAGACATGTTTTGTACATTTACGACTGATTTGTTGTTCTTCCTTTCTGTAAAAAAAAAAACGAATATTTTCAGGTAATTGGTTCGATTCTTACTTTGTGTTCAAGTCTAAAAATCACTCTTTTTAATGACCTAAATACAATACTGGAGCATCATCATCACAGCTGATACCTGTTAACCTAAAAATCTAAGTGTATTCATAAAGTAGGTACAAACTTACAAAAATAATAATGAATGTGCCTGTTTGATTTCTATAATGTAACTCTTTTACAGATTCTCCCAACTTTACTTAACAGTGTTCATTTATTCAGAGGCTAGAACTTAACTGTTTATCATAACACCTATTATTATTAACAGGAAAAAAAAAAAAATAAGAATACAATAAAAATATTTTTGCTGTTTTAACTATTTTGTTTTTCCTAATGGTTCCATCTTAACAACAATAAAAGAATGCAGTATGTATGCAGTTTCAAGTAGCAAACTGCATTAGATTTACAAAAGGAATTTCACCATCCAACCTTTTGTGATATAATATAAGTCTATACATTTAATTCCTATTGTTAACCAATGAGAAGTGGCAAAATAAGTCAATAATAGACAAGTGACCAAGATCATTAATTGATCATTTAGTCTTAAAGCAAAGGTAGTGATCTGAAGATTAAAGCAGCAAGATAGGTCTATTTCAAACTCTCTTGAGTTTATAAACAAACATTTTATTTTGATAGATGTTTTTCTTTCTCTTCTCCAAGGAGGAAATGTATTGAAATATATTATGTGATTCATGGTTATCCATAGTTATGTATAATAGCTGAGCTCAGTGTCGATGAACAAACTTTGTAACATCAGAACAGAATTCCATTAAAATCACTTTGTTAATCTTTTTTTACTTTTTAGGCCCTTGGTCTTGTTTCCGTTTATCCTTTTCTGGGGTTAAGATAAAAAAGCACTGTAGCGACAGCTTAACACTTCATATGATTGAATTAATAAATTCATACTGGATAACTATACAAAAAAAATGTAGATATACATTGGATGTATATGTCAAACAATGCATGAATGTGGGTAATGTATGATGGAAAACCATAATAATGTAACATAAAGTAAATGGGTTAGCATGGTTAGTTTTATAAACACAATCAGTGTACGTATATCAGTGTATGAGAATCTGAAACATCGGGCTCTTTAAAAAAGTATGAAATTATCCAGCATCACGCTAACTGTTACATGCAACTACTTTTACAAGCAACCCGCAGGTGGATGAAGAGAGAGGAGGCTCCAATTCTCCTTCCACCTCCACCGGCCCGCCTGCCAAGTGTTCCAATGAGCACAAACCCCCAATGGAGAACTAAAAGCTAAAAGTCCCCATTGATGTCATCAACAAGATGCTAACTGTTTTTGAAAAATGCACACCAAAACAAAATGCAGGAGAGAGGGAGGGGGGACTGGGGGGGTTGGGAGAAATTCAGAGACCTACCAAAAGGAAACCAACAAAGGGCAATGGAGTACCACAAAGCACATATCCAGCATCTGCTGCATTCAACAGGATGTGCTAATGCATCATTTTTTTCTACCTTTAGGGTTAAACAGGAAAAAGCCTTCACTTAGGGGAAAATCCCTTAAAATGTTTGTCGTTTTGTGATTGCTTATATTCTTTGTTCTTATTTTCAAATCAGCAATACATCAGAAACATCAGCGCCCAAGAAATATTTAGATATAGCAATATATCATCTTTGCATTTCTAAAAGAAATGTTGTGCAAAACGTTTAAAGACTTACTTGCAGAAAAGTCTTCGGAACTTTCCATTTCCATCTCTTGATAGGTTCTGTAGGAAAGAAATAGTGGAGTAATTGATTTTAACCGATTATGTTTGCACAAATCCATTTAAGAATGACAAACCCTTTACTTATACAAAAATAAATTCCATGCATAATTCATATATATGTAAGTAGATTTTATTTGATTTTCAGTTTGATTCATTTCTGTTTATCTAACGCTAATTTACAACAAATATAGCCTTACAACACTAGCCCTGCAAAACAAATTCAATTTCCCCCCAAAAGTTATAATTCCATCCTGGAAAATCAAACAGCATCTAATTCAGTCTTAGATATGATGCAATGTAGTGGATTTAGCAGTACCGACTTCTTTGATCTTATGTGTATGAATAAACAATAGTAGGTTTGTTTGTGTTGTACAGAGGTAATCGTGGACGATAACATTATCTGAACTACAATAAACTTGCAAAATGACGTTTTAGTTCATTTTGTTTCTTTCTTTTTTAAATTCAGCTTTTTCTAGGTAGTTGGCTACTTAAATTACTCCATTGACCGTACAATGGTTCCTGTACTGTAAGTTTCCATGAATTCACATACAAAGTATCCGAGGCAAACGAATACATTTAAATTTACAAGTGTAGATAACAGATTACAAAGCAGTCATAGAAAAAAATGCACAAAACATGAGTTTTTTTGGGGGGGGAATGTAATCATTGACAAGCATCTTCATCAGCATAAATCATTAACAAGGGGTGAGAGATATAAAATCCTTTGACTTAAATAATGACACGCTTTGTCCTACTGCTTTCCAGTAGTGAAGAATTAATATTACAGGACACGAGGAAATAAATTACTTGGAATTAGACTAAGTACTGCATTTGTTTGTAGCTTTAGATTGAGGCTTAATATCGTTGTAGAACTTATTATTATACAAATCTATAAATCTGTCATTACAGTTACGATATACTGCTATAGTTTTTTAATAATAAATTGTAACATTTTATATTGGTAAAAACAATGTCTTTATTTCTTAGCTTTAATGAAATATAAAAGTGAATGTATTGATCAGAATTGTCTCATATAAGCATTACTACTTTTTCAGAAATTTTGAAAGATTTTTTTTTTTTTGGCCTCCATAGCCAAATGCTATACCATCACAGCATTGCTATTGGCTTCTTTGAAAAGCATAAAAACTTAACCCTTTATTAATAGGAAGAAAATGATTCAGATCTTACACATTTTCTCACTTTTCTAATTACAGTCACATGGTTAACGCAAACAGGCTTCAAGCTTTTGTCATTTTCCTTATAGTTTGAACGAGTTTCACAAAAAGAGCGAAGCTGTATAGTGAAAGCACCAATTTGGCAAACAATAGTTTCAGATTCGCTGTAGTGCAGTACATGAAACGCTTATTTGGCAGGAAAATTGAAAGTTTATTGCTGAAGAAAGAAATACACACACACACAGACACACACATATATACATATATATACAACTTTATATACATATATGTATATAAATAGATGTATATATATATATATATATATATATATAGATATATATAGCTATATAGCTATATATATATATATATATAAGAAAGTTGGGTTCACACGAGTTACATTCAAACAAGTCGCTGCACTGTGCAACAATTTGTAATTCAGTGAAGGATGGAGGGAGGGGTGCTGGTTAGTTGTCTCCACCTCCCTACAAAGCAATACAAATAATTTAAAAATATATATTAAAATTCAACTTTACCTAATTTATCCAGTGAGATTTCAAACTTTTTCTCCAGATCAACATGTAACAATCCAGTGGAAAAAAAAGAGAAGGGAATTATGTTCTACAGCTCAAGTTCAAAAAGGCAGCGCAAAGTTAAGGAGTCGAGGTGCGCATCTGCAGTCTCCTACAGGTGACTGTCGCTGTGTGAGAGCCTCTAAAGTGCGCGCCCCCTCCTCCCTCTCAACTTTTCCACTTTAAAAGCTACACCGACGCCGTCCTACAGTCAACTAAACTCCCAACTTCAGCAGATCGTTGTTTTTTTTTTTGTTTTTTCAAAAAAAAAATTTTTCAAAAAAAAAAGTGACGCGGCTTATGAGCGAACGGTTACATGGCGAACGTTTGCAGCAGGAACAAAGAGAAGGGAAAGACTCAACAAGTTGGTTAAGGGAGCGAAAGAGAGAGGGATGGATCAAACTGGATCCACCGGTTCCTAAGGAATTAGCCATAACGACAGGGAGCAGCCGGGCTATTTTCAACAACCGAGACACTGGAAATCCGTGGGCAGGCAATGCTGAAAAGCTGCTGTGGAGATGTGACTCAAGGTCGAACCGGTAGAGTCGCAGGCATTTTAATTGCTGCTGAAGAGAGTGGGGATATAATGTGAAAAATAGAACTCATGAACATCACTTTTTGAAACAGGAAAGTAACAAACAACTGACTTCTCCATCACACTAGACAATAATACGTTTCCATTTCCAAGCCTTTATCTCTTTTTAAAATCGTTTTATAGTTAGTTTTGAATTATATTAGAAGTCTATCCAATAAAAAATAGATATGAAGCATAAGCTTGAAAGTAGGTTAACATAAAAAATATTAAGGACAGAGGTGATTTACCTGCAGACACGCTCATCAGCTACCAGACAGTGTATTAGGCCACTTTTCATTTAGATAATATGCGTTTCCCCTGTTAGATGTTTTTTTTTTTTTTTTTTTTTTTTGCTTGTGATTCCTGCATGACTTGGGGGGAGGGGGGGTTGACTGACAGCTGTAGTTCAACAGGTTATCCGATCACCGCTGTCTTACAGCAGAGCCAGTCTGGTTTTCCATTCATCACACAGACGCTCCTTGTCTGTGTTTTTGCTGCAGACATGCGCCGCCAGCAGTTCAAGCATCTGCGGCCAATAATCCAGCCGCTAAGACATACACTGAATGGACAATCGAGCTGATACCCCGATAGACGCACTTAATTACCAGGTTTTGTTTTATTAATTGACATAAAACAATGAGTTACATAGATATATAAATAATATATACATATGCACTCTGATCTACAATTACTATCTAGAATACAATTTATGGTTGTCCGATATTCACCATGCAGCCAGGACTGAGAGGTAGTTGGTTCCGCAGCAGCAACAGCAGCAGAAGCAGCAAAATCAACAGTTGTTAAATCCACCACTTCCTCCTCCATCTCCTCGCTCGGTGGCCGCACGCGTTGCTATTCTGGGTTGTTGGTCTGACACTGAGAAACGGATCTCACAGTATGGACAGGCTGCCTCTCGGCTCGACTCGCCAATCGATCAGGTTACAAGTTGCAATTTCTCTGAGCCTGTTTTTTTTTTTTTTTGTATTTCTTGTAACATATGTTACAATAAAGTACAAATGTGTTTTCATTTTGCTTTTTTTCCCCCCTCTGCGTGAAATAAACCTCTGTATTGGACGTTTGTAATTTAATAATGATTTGTAATTTTAAACACTGAGGAATAGATGGACAACTAAAGTATTAAATATACAATGAAATAAATGAATGCCACATGGTTTTTTTTTTAAAAACAAAAAAAAAACTATTATTAACTTATGTGATAAATTATATGTTTGTCAGTTGTTAAGTTGTTATTTAAAAAAATTAGCCATACATACTGCCATGTGTTTTGTAATTACATCCTTTAATCCTCCCTTTCACATCACGGATGGATGGATGGATGGATGGATGGATGGATGGATGGATAGATAGATAGATAGATAGATAGATAGATAGATAGATAGATAGATAGATAGATAGATAGATAGATAGATAGATAGATAGATAGATAGATAGATAGATAGATAGACAGACAGATAGATAGATAGATAGATAGATAGATAGATAGATAGATTCTATAAGATATTTACCCCCTTGAATATAACCTTCAGTTTTTTTTATTTTTTTGCTCATAAATAAAGTAATCAGATCACCATATTAACTTTAACAAAACATTACCACCTTAAGTTATGCCTTATATCAGGGGTCTTCAACGTTTTTCAGGCCAAGGACCCCCCAAACTTATGGCGAGATGGAGCGGGGACCCCCTAATTATATATATTGTATGAAATTGTGTTATATCAAACTGGTCCTACAGTCACTCTACCACAGAGGGAGTCATGTAACAAAAGTAATTTCACCCAGGGATTATTAAAGTATTTCTGATTCTGATTCCTCATTGATGGGACAGGTGTTGTGAATGAAACGGTGCCCAGTATGAAAGAGCTCCGGTGTGTCACTAAATGTGTGCATTGATGACTGAAAGAAATCTTCTGCCTCTGTTTATCTGTTTACTACAGAGTGTTGAATTCATGTAAATTTGGATTTAAAGACATTTCAATTCGTGGCAAAAATTGCAGGGGGGGATTAAACAAAAAAAAAAACAAAAAAATTTAATTAACCAAAACTTTCGCGACCCCCATGCAGTACCTCCGCGGACCCCCCCTAGGGGTCACGGACCCCCTGTTGAAGACCTCCGCCTTATATGGACAAACACATTAATTATCATATTCGGGCCAGAATAATGCCGGATCTGATATAGTTAGATGATCTAAAACAAATAATTTGGTTTCAGCGCAAAGGGACAAAATTAGAGAAATCTGTAATGGCGTTCATAGCTTTTCAGAAGACTGTGTAATGAGTTATGAAGTTATGGCTACGTTTTTCATTGAAGTTGACATAAAAAAACAATTCAACAAGATTTTTTGTGTTAATATTTTTCATGTTGATATGTTAAAGTTGTCTTGAAGCACAAGTTTCTTTTACCTCTGTATTTTAAGGGAAGGACTTCAACTTTGTTGCTGATCAGAACTACAGTGAAATCCTCTTAATCCATTTCATTGACAATCTTAGTTTTTCCATATTATTTTCAGGGCATGGGCATAATGGTTTTACACTGAAGCTGTCCTAAATGACCTGCATTTAAGTTTTAAAGTTTTTTTTTCTACTTTTTGCCATCTTACACTTTGTAGATCTAGATGTAATCTTTTACATTCTTAAAGAGGCATTACAGAGTTTTTGAATGATACTGCCACCTGTGGCCAAATCACTGAACTGCAACACTCTTCTACTCGTTCTGATAGTTCGCACCCGTGCTTGACAAGATTTATTTTCTTATCTTTTTTCACCAACCAGGAATTGCCATTAGTGTCTGGGTTGAGCTAAATGCTGGTTGCTTCTGTTTATCCACACAATACATCTTTGATTGTTTGCTAGGTCGAGCCCATTCAACATGGATGAGCTTGATGTCACATCTGCCAAACAGCAAAGGAAAATCCGACTCAAATTCAGGATAACAGGCCACAGAGTTATAGAGGCATTGATGCTGAACTACTAAGATGTCAGTCTGCTCATCAAGTTATATTTTACTCGTAAAAGGTCAATTAAAAATGGTATTTTAAAGATATTAAAACACTTACATAATGTCTGATTATCTTCTTTTTCTGCCACAAGAGGGGCACTTTGGACACACCTCCCATATGTCATTAGGCATGATGACATTAATTGTAATGATGTTCTGAATTTGGGATATCATAGTTGCGGTCACCAAGGCTGTTACTATGAGGTGCCCCCAGGGACATAAATCAGAATTAACTTGCATATACACATATTAAATTACACTCTTCCATATAATATACTGAAAACCTCACACAAACACTAGTAAAAAGCTCTCACATAAACTAGTGAAAACATTTACCTCTTATATAATCTACTCAAAAGCTCTCATACAAAGTAGTGAGAACTGTTCATATAAACTGGTGAAAAGCTTTACCTTTCATACACACTACTAGAAAGCTTTCATATACACTATTAAAAAGCTCTCATATACACTACTAGAACGCTCTCATATACACTACTAGTACGCTCTCATATACACTATTAGAAAGCTCTCATATACACTATTAGAAAGCTCTCATATACACTACTAGAAAGCTCTCATATACACTATTACAACGCTCTCATATACACTATTAGAAAGCTCTCATATACACTATTAGAACGCTCTCATATACACTATTAGAACGCTCTCATATACACTATTAGAAAGCTCTCATATACACTACTAGAATGCTCTCATATACACTATTAGAACGCTCTCATATACACTATTAGAAAGCTCTCATATACACTACTAGAAAGCTCTCATATACACTGCTAGAAAGCTCTCATATACACTGCTAGAACGCTCTCATACACGCTACTAGAAAGCTCTCATACATGCTACTAGAAAGCTCTCATATACACTACTAGAAGGCTCTCATACATGCTACTAGAAAGCTCTCATACACACTACTGAAAAGCTATTAGCGGATTTCAGTTGAAACGGAAGGTGTTTCAGTGAAACAGGAAGGACCGTCATTACCCCGGAAGTTGTTTTAAACGGAGGTCATTCTGGCTAGCTCCGTACATTTTGTGCTATCTCCGGCCGAAATTGTATCAAATAAAATTATTGATTCATGCTCAGCAATCCGCTAAACAACTCACAGAAGCAAGGGCATTACTCGACTTTATTTTTTATGTTTTTGCTTCAACAGAGATCCTTTTCCGGTGTTGTGCGAAATTCTGTTCCCATGTGAAAATCTGTTCCACCTGTGTCGGGAGCGCGCCGCGCATTGCAGCCACATAAGCGGATCTGATCATTTCCCAGGCCTTTCGGATCATTTCTTGATTAAATAAAAAGTCGTAAAATTATACAAGGTTGAGACATTTAGTTTAATCAGCCGCTGTTGTTTACAAAATTGTAAAATAAAAAAAATAAATGCGGTTTTCTTATGCTGTTTTGTGTTGTTATTTTAAACGCCAAGAGAATCAGTCTGTTTCCAAGTTTTTTCACTTCAGCCTGACAGAAATAAAAGTCAAGTCACCAAATACCAAATTTGTATTTATAATTTTTTATTACTGATATAAGATGATGGGAAGTGCCTGATAGCAGTTCCATAATATGGAAACAAATTAATTTAGCTGCAAATCTTAAACTGTGTTTATTCCTCTCTTCATCAACAACAAACCATCTGGATTCGGTGATATTTGAGCAAT